AAAAGAGACTGTGTGCTGAGAGAAGAAAAATTTTGTTTGTTTATTTAACGTCATAAAAAAAAAAAAAGACAAAAATGAAATAAGACACGTAGTGGAGAAATGAAGGAGGGCTCGCCGTTTGATAGACGAATGGGGACAAAGCCCTTCTTACCCAAGCCTCACTCGGTCCAATCCCTATCTTTCCATGTGATGTATCGTTTTCTTTTTTTTTTTTTTTTTTTGGTAGCCAGCAACAGTATTTAAAATTATGCCGACTAATTCGTTAGTCGACTCGGGTCGTACATCTAACAATGGTAGGTGAGTCTCCAACAAAGATTTTCTACATTCATAAGGACTCGAACCCGAGATATTGATTAATCGAGGTCAAACTGCTTAACACCCCGGTTATTGTTTTTAATTACCTGTGAACCGCCTTAAATCACGAAACGGTTCAAAATAACTGAACTCGAGTTAAGATGTAGCTGAACCGGGTTTTTTTAGTGTACACATATATAAAGCATGGCTGCTATTGGAGGACAGGGTTATGTACATGTTATGTATGCATGCATGGAGGAGAGAGAATTGAGGTGCTATGGGGTTTGTGATAAAGAATTATTGCGATCATTATTATTGAAGTTTATCTGTTGGGTTTTTTTTTTTTTTGATTTATTTCTCTTCTGTTTTGTTTTCAAATGAAAAAAAAAAAAAAGAGGAAATTAAATTAAAAGAAATAATAAAAGGCTGAGGCACCGCTAGGGTTCACCATTGAGGTGAGAACGTATGGCTTTTTAATGGCATATAATCCGGAAGGAGAGAGAAAGTTAAGTGTGGCATGGCACGAGGTTTCATATTTTTTTTTGTTCTTTCTTATTATTACACACTCTCTTTCTTTGTAAGCAGTTGAAAATTAAATTAAATGGTGATAATTTTGAAAAATAAGAAAGTTGGGTACATATATGGCCAGCTTTTGTTTTCTCTTTCTTACTTAAGAACAAAACTCCAGTAAGTAAACGATTTGAATTTATCTGTAACCACAAAACAAAAAAAAA